GGCAAACCTACATATTTTTTTTATGCTGAAATACTGAATAAATTACAATTTGATGACATAATTATTTAAAGACCAAACCAGTTGTAAAATAAATTTACACGATTCAGACATTTTTTCGATTTGAAGATTCTTCTACCCCCCTAGTTGTTTTTTGGGTGTTTTTTTAAAGGTAACCGCATTGTCCTATAACATTTTCTCACAAAGAAATAAGATAAACAAAAAACAACAACAAGAAAAGCACCATAAAAACAACTGTGGATAACACGGCTTCTTGAACTATGTGAATATTCTTTGCTCTTCCTCTCTTGTCACAGTGTCTGTCTCTTCCTCCCCACAGGTTTCTTCAGGTGCGCCCAGCCTGTGTTGAGGATGAAAGCTTGCTGGTGGGAATAGTGACATTTTTGAATGCCTACTTCAAACAAATTCCCACAGAGTTTGCGTGTGAAGCCGAGGACAGGAACCTGCGCTGGATACTGGAGCTGCTTCTCAACCAGGTACAGATCATTCACACTTTCTGGACGAGCATGAAAGTAAAACCTTCAACACCTGTGCCCTTTTTTCCCTTCTTAAGATTGTGGCTCAAAAGAATACGCAATAGTCTCTATTTTTTATTTCATCTATTTATTTACTTTTTAATGTGGCTCAGCTTACTTGTAGTTTGGACTCAGATGCATCTTAGCCATCTTGTTTATTCAAGTTTCTTAAAAAATGTGTTTTGATGTAATGTGGTTTTAATGTGTGTGTGCACCAGTAAATATAGCACACAGGTAAGCATCTCCATTAAATACTGTAGTAATTTGGTTAAGCTTACCAGGAAACTCATAACAGAAAACTGCTCCCCCCCTTAGATGTAGCACAGATTATTTCCTGCGCATTTCACACAAAACTCATATTTTTGTTTGAGGAGAAGAATTGCCATTCTCTTTTAATAAGAACAGCTACTTTTTGGGAGGAATTTAATCAGACTCACCTTCTTCTAAATGTGTGTAAACAATAAGTCCTCTCCTGGCAGCTTTAAAAAAAGACTCAGATTTAATGCCTGGTAGGGGTGAGCAGAGCTGCTCTGTGCCATCTTTTCTGCAATTACCGAGCTGTTTCAGGAGCATCTGTCTCTTCATACACTTTCATTAAAGTGGGATTTCAGTTTACATATTTCTATCTGTGCTTCTCACTACGTTGAAGCTGTGTAAACTATTGGGTTAACAGTGAACAAGCTGAAGAACGTACAGGTGAGCTGCTGCAGTTAAAAGTYGATGAAAACACGTAGAGATATTCTGAAAACAAAACAGGACGAAATGATAACATSAAATGAAGCATTAAGCTGGTGAAAATCAGCAGTCTTGTGTTATTTATTGGCGCTCCAGGAGACCGCAGCTCTCCTTCATTTGCTTCTTGGTGTGGAGACGCAGAGCTCCTCTCAGAGCCCGAGAGAACCAGAGGAACTGAAGAACCATGTCAGACAGAGACTGCAGAGAGAGCTCACCTGCTKCTTTAACACATTACTGCACAGACTGTCACTCACCACTGACAGGTAGGAYGACACAAACCTGTCGATGTCCATTTTTTAAGGTTTTAATTTAAAGATTGTTAATGATTACAACAAGAATCCTGTTCAGTTTTAATCTTTGTTTCTATTTTCTGTCTTTCTCTTCTTTTGCTGTCACCTTCTCCTCTCCGTCCAGGCTGTGTTTGGCACTAGCAGGCCCCTTTAAGAGCCAGCTGGCAGTCCGCTTGCTTCAGAGCCTGCGGGTGTCGGACGCCCCGCGCTTCTACGGCCTCCCCAGCCTGGAGAGGACCCTGCAGGGCATGGTGAGCCTGACCGCCCAGCCTGGGTGGAGCTCCCACTGCCCCGACCAGGAGCCCAGCTCCCTCTGCTCCAAGTACCTCAGTGGACTGTTGGAGGTGAGTGTTTCTCCATCCGCTCGTGTTTGCATGTGACGTATGTGCGCATATGCTCATGTGTTGACTGGGCTCGTGCCACCCTCCCACTTGTTAATCAGATCTGAGAGCCGCCTACAGAAAAGCCGAAACGTCGTACTTTGTGAAGGAATAATTACAAATTCAGCTAGATGTAGTTGGAAGACAGGAATGGGAAAGGATGAATATCTCATTGATTAAATGTGCCACACTGTTAGGATGCTGATGAGATTAATCAACCTTGCTTTTTCCATCTGTTCAGCTGCTCACCAGTGCATAAAACAATAGCCCAACAGTGTAGACCAGCTTGTACAGCACTCCTCAGCACAGAGGTGTCAGAAACTGTTGTTTTTGCTTAAGTATAAAGACCCCTGTGGAATACTAACCACAAATGTTTTCCTTTTTGTATTGTGTATATGCCACTGTTATTAAATTTAAGCATATTTACAACAATTTCTGTTCGATGCTTTCATCTACTTAGTAACTCTGAGACTCTTTTCAGCCGTTTAAATCCTCTGACCTGTCTTCTTTTTTATTTATTTMTTTATTTATTTTGGCAGTGTAGTATCCTAAAGCACAGCAGGCCTTTGGCTCCTCTCTTTTCATCTACTCTTTCGGTGCAGACTCGCATCCCGATGGCACACAAAACCAAAATAATTAGTCTCTCAGCTGTATTGAAGTTCAATTTGAATGCTGTGCAAATGCAACATACAGTTGGCAGTAACTGAGACAGAACTTACTGCACGCTCACACATTTAAAGGGGCTGTTTGTTTGCAAAACAACAAGTCGAAACGAGGAGCTCTTTATGTCCTGATGCATCTCAGTAATCCAGGTGGAAAAAAATCAAAAAGAAAAAAATAAGTAGTTCCTCTGGATGGGTTCTTCTTTAGTGAAACGTTTCGTCTCTCCTCCAAGAGACTTCTTCAGTCTGATGAGTTTCAGGTGAACTCAGCCTTATAAGCACTGCCTCCACATGGTGGAMAAACAGGTTAGTTACATGCAAAAGAGGGCCATCGCCTAACAATAGGCTTGATTAGCTCTATAGATAGATAGCTAGAGAGGAATGTTGGTTTGAGAGAGGAGTAAAGGAAGCCATCTTTGTGAAGAAAAACCATCCACCATTAAACAGAGGTGGAGGCCWTYRTGYYCAGTTGTCCTCCTCCTACAACGCTGTTATTGCAAGTATGACTCAGCCCCCTGTGAGCGAAAGGTGTGAATCAGGGTCCCAATGATACCCAACACAAAGAGTGAAAGACAAAAACAAGGGGACGTTGAACCCCCGCTTGCATTCACTACATACACATAGCACGTCACCAAATAACCACAGCCGAAGCATCCAAACCAATAAGTCAGGTGATGGGACACATGACCCTCCATGAACAATAGAGCTAATCAAGCCTATTGTTAGTTGATGGCCCTCTTTTGCATGTGACTAACCTGTTTGTCCATGTGGAGGCAGTGCTAATAAGGCTGAGTTCACCTGAAACTCATCTGACTGATGAAGTCTCTTGGAGGAGAGACGAAACGTTTCACTAAAGAAGAACCCATCCAGAGGACCTATTTATTTTTTTCTTTTTGAGTWCTTTACATGTTTTTGTTAGTAACTGATGACATAAGACATTGATAATAGCGCCGTGTCATTTCCGCAGGTGATCTCCTCGTTTTACGTGGAGTGGGGAGGTAACTCTTTGTCTTTCATGGGAAAAGGCGTGACGAAAAACGCTGTCATCTGCTTGCTGCATCTGTGCCATGAGATGATGGCTGTAAACAAAGAACAGGCGAGGATCAAACGGGCTGTTTGCTGATCTGGGTTTTGTCTTGGATGTTTAACTACCTGAGCAGCAATACAGAACTGATAATGTAAATATATTAAACTCGTATTTTTATTGGCTCTAGGATTTGATTTCTCAGTGGTCTTTGGGAAACGAGGGAACTACAGAGGAATCTGGTTCCTCTCAGCTGGGTTTGGCCTGGCTTATCCCACTGTGGGTGGACCGAGATCAAGAAGTAAGTTATTCACTCATCTTAATTTTTCCTGAAGTAATACAAATGTATGAACTAATACTTATAGTATAAACACAGTGAAAGAAATAGTCCTACACATTCTATTAATACAGCGTTAATATATATTTTTGTCATAGCTAGATTAAATATTTGGTTTGTCCCTGAACAAGAAAGATGTTTTTTTGTCAATTGCAACATAAAAGCTTTTATAGAATTTAGACGAATCTTGATATTTAAAATGTCTAAAGATAGGTGCCAAATATTATCAGCAATTTTTTAAAAATCTAATTTTATTCTGCAGTGGTGTACACATCCCACATCTTTTTATACCTGTTTCTTTACTGTTTCTGTATTTTTTTTCTTCAAACATCCACCCAAAAGCATGTCTTTTCCTCTCCTCTCAGGTGAGGTTTGCCAGTTTGAGTTTAGGTGCAGCTCTGACCTGGATGCCCAGCGGGTGCCAAGCTCTGTGTGCCAGCTGTCAGAACATCAGCGGAGGTCTGTGGGGCACGTTGCTSAACATCCTCCTGGATCAGCAGGATAGCAGCATGGTCCGCAGAGAGGTACACGGCTAAAAATAACAGCGCCTGCTTGTCTCTAAAATGAGACTCTTTGTGTGTAATTGGCTCTATTAAAATGAACTCTGTGACAGGAAAATATTAACAATAGGTGTTTGTTTTTTTGTCTAAGTTAAACTTTTTTTATTGCAAATGTTCATGATGATTATTTACAAGACTTAAATCAGTATTAAACAGTGAAATCAAAGAACTTCACTGGATGAAAAACATAAGGCTGGACTTTTATGTATTAGCAGCCAAATACAGGCAGATGGCACTGTTGCAGATGCAGTCCAACTTAACCCAGTGTGTCTGTGTGTGTGTGTGTGTGTGTGTGTGTGTGTGTGTGTGTGTGTGTGTGTGTGTGT